CCCCAAAACCCCAAAACCCCAAAACCCCAAAACCCCAAAATTTAAGGCCAAATTGAAACTATTCATTAGTATCTTGTATTGATCAACGAAATGTAACTTTTAGTAGCTAGGGTTTCTTTTCTCCAACTACAAATGATGCTTTCTTGCATAAGATTCAGGCACAATCACTCAGCCACGAGAATCTCTGTCGTACAAAGGAGGATCAGCTAACTCATCGTGACTAAAGAGGAAGGAGTATCCTACAGGAAGAATAGTGGGATCTCTGAGACTACAAGTACATCTAAAAGTTACTATAAGAGCTTACATATGATTGATATCATTTTTAGACTCTTTGCACTTCAAATATCTCTGGTAATCAACTGGAGCTCTATTTTTGGCACTCTGAGCTCTCTTCTGGAAGTTCTGTAGTTGAGTATAATCTCCTGTACTAGCCATTGTTTGATCAAAAGTGGCATTTTCCATTGGATATGTTTCCTCTCCTTTATACCTTCTGTCCTTAGCCAGCTTATTGGCTAATTTAGAATTTTTATGATTCACTTGGTCCCTTGCATTAACTCTTTCATCACGAGTTTTGTTTCCTTTAGACTTCTTTGAATAGCTAATACTGATATTTCCCAGATCAGGGTTGTCCTGTGTTTTCTTTTCCTTATACTCCATTCTTGGTTTAGCCCTTGCTGGCCTTCTCTTGCTGTCTTTCAGCCTAGAACTAGTCTCCCTAGACTGGCTCTTCATTTGAGATTTCCTGCTAGAGGACCTCTCAGTGGTGGCATATTCTGAAGGAGCAGGAGTATCGTGCTGACTAGCAAACCTAACCTCGTCCATAAGATCAAGTTGCTTGATCTCCCTTTTTAGGTGCCTAGAGGGCTTATCAGGCAACAGAGAATTCTTGTTCTTGAGCTCCTCTATCTCCTTCTTTGTAATCTTTGGCTCCTTCTTAAGTTCCTTTGTTGGATGCAGAGTTGGCTTACCATTGACAAATGCAGTGTCATGAGCAGAGGTGTATGTCTGCCTATACTCAGGATGATTCTCCCCACTATGAGGATGAATATTATGAGTCCTCAGATAGTCTCCATAAATTATACCTCCTGAAGTAGGATTGGTATTGGCCTTCCCATAAGGATGGAATATGGGCTTCCCATATTCTGACCTGAGATGAGAGTCAGGTTTCCATCTGGCCTTCCTCTTTTGATCCATTTCATCTAGAAGTTCTTCTTTCTGCTCTTTGGTGAGCTGATATTTGTCCACGGATTTTGAACCATATCTTGCTTTGTTCCTTAAATAAACCCATTTACCATAATTTTCCTTCTTTCAAGAAGCACTTGGACGCTCTTCTGACTCTTCTTTGTCAAGATTGGGATCTGTTGACTTCACTCTTCTTTTGTCTGGGTTTGGCTCCTTGGCTCTGCTATCACGAGCCAGTGATTTTGACTTCGAAGCAGATGAGCCCAAGCCAAAATAAGCTGTTTTGCGATTGCCAGATTTTTCTTGCTCATCTTGATATGAATAGCTATTATCTTCCTTTTCTCTTCCCTGTCGGTCTGGCTTCCCTTTGCTTCTCTTCTTCTGTTCCTCCCTTAGAAGGCGCCTAGCTTCCCTTCGAAGTTGCTCTTCAGTCATAAATTCCTTCTCATACTTAAACAATCAAGCGTGATTAGCTCCTCTTTGAAGAGCCCTCTCTTGAAAAGAAGCAGGGGTTCTGATCGGCAGCTGGTCACAGTCATTATCTTCACCATCATAGCTGTATTGGCTCAGCTGCTGAGTTATGTCCACACATCGATTGTTGCCAAAGGATGGTTTTTGAGCCCGGACTTTCTTAAAGACTTTGTATAAGGACTTCTGCCCCTTTTCCCACCTGCTGAAGCATGTATGATTCATTATTCTCCAAATAAATTTATTTCAACATAAATAAAACTTCAGGGGTTTTGGGGTTTTGGGGTTTTGGGGTTTTGGGG